AGGTTGTGGCGGATGGAGTTCTGCCAGCCGGCCTTGCTGCGGCCGTAGAAGGGGAAGTTGTCCGAGACGTACTGGTAGATCTGGCTGAGGGTCAGCCGCTGCTCTGGAGCGCTCTTTATTGCCATGGCGATGAGGGCAGAGTAAGAGTATGGCGGGCGGACCAAGCTCAGCATCTCGTCCTGGGAGAACCAGGGAATGCTCCTCTGGAGCCTGTAGAGATGAGGGTGGAAATCCCTGAAGGGTGGGGGCAGCCCCGGTGCACATCCTGCGGCGAAGCTCTGGTCCAGGCTGGAGGCGAAGCTGCAGCTGTGGGCCGGCTGGAGCCACGCCGACGGGCTGGACGCAGGTGGAGACAGAGGACCGTACAGGCTGAAGTCGGACTGGTCGAGGCCCAGAGATGGGAGCTCCTGCTGGGGCAGCGAACGTCTGCAGACGGGGGGGGACGGGCCACGCTCCGGCACAAAGGACGCCATGCTGCTGCTTCTTCCAGTCTGCCTGCACCTGTCTGCTCCATACACCTGCTGCTCACCTGAGACACTTATACCCTGCTGCCCCGCCCCCTGTACGAGCCGATTGGCTGCTGGGGCATGAGCGCGAGGAGTGGGCTGATTTGAATAAGAACAAGTTGACTTGTTGCCCCGGGGCAGATCAGGAGGATCGAATGCAGACGCCAGCTCGACCCTGCGAGAGGGGAACAGACGCAGCTCTGATCTCACAGCTTCATCGCAGCTGCGTTGCTGCTTTCTTCAGCTGCATTTGAGACATTTTAAACTCTGAAAATTCAAATATGTTCATGGTTTCAGTTCTTAATTCTGAGTCTTTTTCTTGTTGAATGTCTGTTTGCTGTTGTTCACAGCTGGCCCTGTGAGGCTGTGGATGAGGGTTAAAGCTCACTCAGCTTCTGCAAACACTGAAACACTGATATTTGTTTATTGGTGTGTTTACGGTGATTTCCTGTGACCGTGACTTTGCCACTCGATGAACTTTGTAAGCCATAAAATGCTGAAAGCGTTGTCGTGTTCCTAAAGAGCGTGTCTGTGACCCCTGCCCGTTCTCCTGGGCTCCTATTTGATGTTTCACAGATGAGCTTTTCGCTGCTCAGAGCGTCTCCTCACAGACCCTGAGTCGTTTCTGCAGCTGCTGTTTGAGGCGTCGCCCGAGCCCTTTGTTCTGCAGACGTCCCCCGACACGCTGACAGTCAGCATGTCTGCAGGCCCGATCAAAATAACTCACATTCTCATGTAAATGCTTCAGCGCGCCTCCCAACGAGGGCTCGTTTTCACTGTGGCTCTAACTGCTCAGCTGATCTGTGGCAGACGCCACGACGATCGTCTGTCAGCAGACACGAGCTCGGGTCTGAGGCTTCAGTCCAGCAGCTCCATCACAAAGTCCCGAGTGATGGAGCAACATGGAGGTCATGATCCTGATGCTGCAAAGCTGCCACACACAACTTTCTACTTTACTCAGTTACTTTACAGCCTGAAGGAGTTTGTTCAGAGTGAGCATGCATGAGGACGGAGCTGAGCCCATGTTTGTGTAATAACTGTCCTCATGGCTGTCATGTGACTGCGCTGTCATGCGACCATCCTCCTGTCAGAGCCTGCAGTTCCTCCGACGTCCAGCAGAGGCAGCAGAGTTCAAATAAAGCTGTTTACAGCCTGATGCACCAACTGGTTTCTGTCC